TTGTAGCAGATATCAGAACCTCATCCCTTTTTATGGCTGAGTAATATTCCATTGTATGTGCATGCCATGTTGTGTTTGTCCATTCAGCCCTCTATACGTCGGAGTGGAATTGCCGGGTCTTACGGTAACCAAACAGTTTTCCATAGCAGCTCTACCATTTGCTGTTCTCACCATCAGTGCACAGTAGTTCCAGTTTCTCCACATCCTTCTCAACACTTGTTTCTTTTTATCATGTTGTCCTAGCGGGGTTGTAGCAGTATCTCACTGTGGTTTGGACTGGCATCTCTGTAACGATATTGAGCATCTTTTCACGTTCCTATTGGCCATTTGTGTATCTTTTTTGGTGAAATGTCTATTCACATCCTTTGCTTGTTTTAAACATTTCTTGTCTTTTTGTTGTTGAGTTGTAAGAGTTCTTTATGTATTCTGGACATTATTGTTGTGTGCCTTTGAGTAGATTCCAACTCCTAGCGACCTCGTGTGACAGAGTAGAACGGCCCCATAGGCTGTAATCTTTACAGGAGCAGATTACCAGGTCTTTACTCCTTCAGAGCTGCTGGGTGGGTTTGAACCCCAATCATTCAGTTAGCAGGCGAGCACTTAGCCATTGCACCGCCAGGGGTCCTTGTATTCTGAATACTGGATCATTATCAGATACATGATTTCAAGTGGAACCCTGGTGGCACAGTGGTTAAAGCACTTGGCCACTAACCAAAAGGTTGGCGGTTGGAACCCACCAGCCGCTCCGCGGGAGAAAGACGTGGCAGTCTGCTTGTGTAAAAGATTTACAGCCTTGGAAACCCTATGGGGCAGCGCTACTCTATCCTATAGGATCACTGTGAGTCGGAATCGACTTGACAGCAACGTGTTTGGGTTTGGTTTTTTATGATTTGCCAGTATTTTCTCCCATTCTGTGGGTTGTCTTACCACTGTCTTGATACAGGTGTCCTTCGATGCACAAAAGTTTTAAATTTTGGTAGCGTCCAGTTTATGTTTTTTCTTTTGTTTCACGTGCTTTTGGTGTCATATCTGAGTCCACTGTCAAATCCAAGGTCATGGAGATTTGCCCCCATGTTTTCTTCTAAGTTTTATCATGTTAGAAATGTAATAGAGATCCTTGATCCATTTTGAGTTAATTTCTGATATGGTGTGAAATATCCTACCTTTTTTGTCTTAACATCGTAAGCCTTTCAAGGACGTGTGTTTGTGTGCGTGTAAGTAAATTAGAGTTCAGTGATTTAGTAGATTAACTTGCTGGTGGCCTACTTTGCAGATTAAGAATAGTGCTTGAGGGCCTGCTGTGGCTGCCGGGGTGCTGCTGGAGAGCAGCTGTGGGTGCAGGGTCACCCTCCGCAGGAGACTGGGCCTCACACATCAGCTGTGGCTTCTCTGAGTGGCCTTTCCCTCCTGGACCTGTCTGCTGGTCTCCTGGCTGGTCGAGCTGTACCACGAGGCCTCTGCCCTGTGCCAGGTGGGCCTCCCAGAAAGAACCTGCAGGCTCAGACCCTCAGCAACAAGCCCTCTTGAGCTCCACCTTTGTTGGGTTCTGGGAGCCCCTTGTTGATGGATGGCTCTGGTTGCCAGGGAGGTTTTCTGGAAGCTCCTCCACCTCCCCGGAGCTCCCTCTCCGGGCCCTCGCCTGCGCTCACCCGGGGCCTCTCCCCAAGCTGGGCCTCCCCACCCCTTGCTGCCCCCACCAGTCTGTCTTCCCTGAGGAGGGCTCCTCCGTTCAGCTCAGTGGAAGCAAGTGTTTGCCAACCCGGCTTTCTATCCTGACCCTCCTGGCTTCTTCCCAGCGGAGCGTTGCGGGTGCCAGCCTCCTCCTGACTTCCTGCCACCCTCATCGCTCTCACGGGGGTGGGCTGGGCACCCGGCCTCTAAAGGGCAAGGAGTGGTGCTGGCTTCTCCTTCCTGCCCAGTGGAGCAGCAGGCTGGTGTCCCTGGAGGCAGGCCTTAGTGCAGGCAGGCCACGCTGCAGGACTTAGTGCTGGGGGGGAGGTCTTAGTGCAGTCAGGCCCTGCATCAGGCCTTAGTGCTGGCGGGGGAGGTCTTAGTGCAGTCAGGCCGCGCTTCAGGACTTAGTGCTGGGGGGGGGCTCTTAATGCAGGCAGGCCGCGCTTCAGGACTTAGTGCTGGGGGGGGAGGTCTTAGTGCAGGCAGGCCGCGCTTCAGGACTTAGTGCTGGGTGGGGGAAGGCCTTAGTGAAGTTAGGCCGCACTTCAGGACTTAGTGCTGGG